GTCAGTAGGAGGACAAAAAGAACACAAATCTCTCAAAAGTGAAGATGGGCAGAGGTTCCAGTCTGTGAAAACCGTGTCCTAAATAATGGAACATTTTCAGGATTATGTTCCTCTGCAGCGGCACAGTGGTGCAGTTGGTAGAGCTGTTGCCTCATCGAGAAGGTCGCCGTTTCAAATCCCGACCTGGGATCGTTCAAGGCAGAGTTTGCATGTTCTCTCTGTGTATGTGTGGGTATTCTCCAGGTACTCGTTTCCTCCCACAGACCAAAAACATGCATGTTAGTCTGACTGGTAACTCTAAATTGTCTCTAGGTGAGTGTGAGAGAGTGAATGGTTGTTTGTCTTGTTTGTCTTTGTCCCTGTGATGGACTGGAGACATGTCCATGTGTCCCTCTCCTCTTGCACAGTGACTACTGGACATGGACACCAGTTAATCCCACAACCTGAAAAGGAAGAAGCGGGTAAAGATAATGAATACACAGATCCACAGGATGTTCCTCGGCAGAAAAAAGGCAAGACTTTTAATATCTCATCAAAAATAGTTTATATTCATATCAGACAATTTTAAGAATTGGAGGTCAATCTCATAAAGCTCTTAAAAGCCTGTACTGAACGTCAGGCAGCATTGCATCAGAGCAGGTTGGATTCTGCTCTGGACATGGATGGTCTCAGGAACACTTTTTCTTGTTGACGTCTGTGAACACAGTTCACTGTGCCGTCCACAAACGTTTAAGTTCCACCTGACCATGCAAAGAGGAAAACATTTGTAAACACTATGCATGCTCAACACTGTCTTCTCTGAACAAAAGCTCATTTAAAGAGGATCAAAAAAAGTAGAAAACTGCTCTGTGGTCAAACAAATCAAAACATTTTCTGGAAACCACAGGCGTCCTCTAAAAAACAGAGAGTTTGTACTCAGTGCTCAGTCCAAAAGTCTGCTTCTCTGATGCTATGGGGGTGCATCAGTGCTTCAGGCATGAACAGCTTACAAATCTGGAAAGGCATCAACAATTCAGAAATACAATGTTTTTAGGTTTTAGAACAACATATGTTCATATTCAGCAAATAAATCCAGCAAAGACCCAGGATCAGCTACATCAGACCAGAATGGGACAACACTCCTCTCTAAAAGCTCCAGCAGCTGCTCTCCTCAGTTCCTGAACATATACAAAGGTAAAAGTAAGAGGAATGCTTCTCAGTGGTGAACATGACCCCCCCTCCCCTTTATTTATGTTATTTTGTTTTTTAATTATTTGCTTTTTTACATTAAACACACATGAAGGGCAACAAAAAGAAGTGTAACACTTTCAGGCTTTTTCAGCACCTGGATGTGAACTTTGAAGACTGTAAGACAAAATATCAAGGCATGAACACATCATGTCTTTCTTACCAACACCCCCCCCCCCCCCCCCC